GCGGGGGGCGGCGCGGCGGGGCTTTGAGCCGCGCGGGAACGGGAGCGGGCTCTGGCTCCGGGGACAGGGAGCTGGGGACCCCGGGAGCCGCGAGAGGCGGCCGCCAGGGGCGGGGTGCGGGCAGTTTGGAGACGGGGGGCGCTGTCGGAGGGAGGGAGGGAGCGAGCGGGGGTGGGGCACACAGACGATTCCAACTGGATACTGGAAGAGATTTTGAAAGGTCATCTCGTCCTTCCCCCAGCCTCCTAGCAGAACTGCCCCTCCCACCCTAAACCCGGACATACCAGGGAAGGAGTTGGCTCTGGCGCTCTTTCTGCCCCAACATGCACAGACTCGGGAAGTTCTTCCTGGGGTTTTATCTCAAAGCCTCTCCCTTACAATTTCTGTCTGTCTTTTCGGGGAGGAGGAGGGGCGATTATAGAGATAGTTAATGTCTGCCGTATAAGAAACAGTATTAAAGTTACTCTTCGGTCCTTTCTGTTCTTGATAAACAATTTCTGCTCCTTCCTCTCGAATGCTATTTTCCATTCCTTAAGTCACGTTAATGGCTCTTCAATACAACAAATATTTACTGAGTGCTTATAAGTACCAATCACTATGCTCAGCCGTGGGGGATGAACACATGTGGGGGTGTAATCTAGACAGGGGCAAAAAAACTTGTTAGTAGTATGCCCAGATTTAGTTAAGATTTACCGAATGCCAGTTCATATATTTGAGAGTATATAATGCTTGCGATAACACTTTGAAATATAACTAGCACGTGCAGGTAAAGAAAATAAAGCTCAAGGATTCTCTTCCCACTGGCTTGCCAGCTCAGAGCTCCTTAGGGCAAGCCCAACAGTCCATATCCTGGCAAGCCATGACCACCAAGTAAAATTAATGCACATGGAGGTGGAGGAAGAAGTAGACACACAGGATCTCTGGATCATTTGAGACGTGATTTCCACCCCACGGGAAAGGAGAGTGGACCTAGTGCCCCAGTTAGTGCTGGCCCAGCACTGAATAGGGCAGTAGCGACTGCAAAGATAGCCACCTCTTCCCAGGCCCCTGGCTCCTGGCGCTAAATCCCAAGGATCTTCTGTCACGAATCATCTTGGTAATAGCCCCTAACATTTATTGAACATTTATGTGCCAGCTGCTGGGCTGAGCTGATTCAGATGCACTTTATTCTTTAATACTCCAGTAACCCAGCTGAGCTTGGTATTACTAACTTTCCTCTATAGATAAGAAAACACAGAGCTTAAGTAACTAGCCCAAAGTCACCCTGATAGATATGGGATCCAAATATAGGTCTGGTTGCCTCCAAGCCTCAGACTCTGCACTTAGAGGGGCCCCTCCTATTTTTGACCTACAAAGTATATATTTGAGCCCAGCTGGTTCTGTGTCTTACTGTAGACATAAATGTCACTAGCTTAGCTTCTGAATAAGCCCTTTAGTATACGGGCATCCGGCACATCAGTATGACCTCATCAGCACCACTAATGGTTAGCAAGCACTCACCATGAGTCAACAGCCTTCACAGTCATATATTAGTCCCTTTTTTTAATCACGCAGTTTGAACAAACTGCGATTCAAATAGGTAGAATAATGTACCCAAGTTCAGACAGTTGGGAAAATGACAGGACTGAGATTTTAGTCCAGGTCTGCCTGGCTGCAAGCAACATCTATCTCTCCAAAAAAAAAAATAATAATAATTGTTGCAATTGTGTCCTTTCCAAGCTGGACCATCTTCTACACATACTTAGCTGCAGATATTACTGAGTCAAAACCAATACTCACTATAATTAGGGCTCCCTGCCTACTTCATCGGTGTCTAATCTAGGATCAATCTTTCAAGAAAGGAAGAAGAAGGGAGAAATGATCTAGAAAGTGAGAGACAGGAAAGCAGAGCTTATCTGGTCTTGGGGCAAAGTTACATACAAGTGGTAATGACTAGAGGCCAATCCATACACTAATGTGGTGATTGAGAACAGTAAGTGGTTGAGGACATTAAAAAAAAAAAAAATAGAGCATGGCAAGGGAAAATTGAAAGTGGTAGTGTCTACCACAGGGTTGAGGGAGTGATCAGAAGAGGAGTCCAGGCTGGACAGAGATGACGATGAACCGAAGAGGCTGGGCATCCGGTGGAATGAGCGGAGACTCATATCTGTCCGTGGCCACTCCCTGAATCCTTAGGCCCTCAAAGGGACCTTTGCCCCTCCACACCCCATTCAAACAGCCTGTCTTTGCTAAGAAAAGTCTGTCATCTGCTCTGAGCTACCAGGCCTCACCGCGAGCTTCAAGCCCAGCTGGGTCCCAACCCTTGGAGTAGCTGCCTCAGACTAGGTAGGTGTGAGTTCCTTAACCTCAACTCTTTAGATACCAGAAGTGGGCAGGAGGATAGCTGAAAGAGATGTTCCTGTATGTCCTGTCTTCTGATAAATCCAATAATGTATTTTTCCAGCCATGGAGGAAAGAGCTGGTCACCAAGATCAGGAGAGACGCAGCACTCACCTGGAAAAGCTACAACACTGGGCAAAGCACAGGCAGAGTGGGACCCTCTTGGTGCTGGCGGTGAGGCGGGACTGCCCCACCCAAACTTCAGCATGTCCACTTGAGCCCTAATTCAATTCCATGTTTAATGAGCACATCCCATGTGCCCGAACTGTGCTAGGCTCTGAGTGGGAGGAGGGTGGAGAAAACATAGAATAAAGATGGCAAGACCCTTAATCTTCAAGTAGCTAGTAAGAAACTAAACTGTGACATGAGGCAGGAAACTATTAAATGATACCCCTTTCTTTCATGGCCCTTGGTTGAGTACCTTCCACCATCACGCATTCCTCTTGGCTGCTGATCTCTAGAAAGACAGGCCTGGAAAGAGGAGAGGGACTCCCTGATAGTTCCTCTTCAACTACCTGCTCCTGGCCCCTAGGTGAGCCAAATATGGCTGGCAATCGCTGTGGTACCCTTTGCTGTCTCAGTAGCCTGCTTGAAATCTGCTTGTCACATGACCACAGCACTACCACTTGGACCTGGAGCCTTGGTAAGAGCCAACACAAGCAAGGGTGGAAGGAAGGACCTGGGGCCATGCCCTAATGGGACCAGAGTTCAACACTGTCCTTCTTACCATTTAGGATCTCCTCACTGGAATTGTTACCCTTGAGCTGCGCAGAGTGCCCCGACTCTGGAAGGTAAGAGAAAAAGAGAATGCAGTACTGTCTTTCCACTCCCCAACATAAACACACACCCCGCTCTGCCCAGGAAGTAAGTGGTTCTTTATGTGTTCTTTATGTGATCCCATTAGATCTTCTCTGCCCGACTGGCCTGAAAGATGGAGCAAGAAAGTTAAGAGGGCCAATGGAGGTGGAGGAATAGGAGTTGCAAATTTTGTTTTTGGCTAGGTTGCTGAATCCCCTAGGCTGATCAGTGCTGAGCTGATTCACTGACAGGTGCAGGCCATGATGATATTCAACACCTTCACTCTGATCTTGGGTTTCATCGTGGTGGTGATTGAGGTGATGAAGACAATCTTGGGACACAATGTGACCACCTTGGGACCCACCCCAACTTCTGCTCCTCAGATACAGGTGAATAAAAAAGAAGGTGGTGAATTTGAGGAGACTAAAGGAGGAGATGGAGAGGGAAAAGGTAGGGGCAAATGGGTGCTGAGTGTTCTGGAATATACTCAGTCCTGTCTACCCGCAGATGCAGGGCTTGCTGGTGCTAGAACTCAGTGCTGAGGCCTTCACCCTAGGGGGAGCCCTGGTCTCAGCATACTCGCTATTCCTTCTGAGCCAGAGAAAGCCAGGATGCTGCAGAAGCCAGAGTCTTCACTACCAGGAACTGCAGGAGGTATTGAGGGAAAAAAAGCAATGAGCAGCAGTTTGCTGCTCATTCTTTCACTGACTACCATGGTCAGAGGCACTTGTGGTGAGAGTGGGGGGAGGAAACAATGGGGCAAAGGAGTGTAAGGGAAGACTAAAACTGATTGGTTTTCTGGTTAAGAGGGCATTGGTATCTAAATGGCTGGGACCAGAAATGTAGGGGTGCATTAAGAAACTCCCTAAATACTAGAAGAGCCACTGGAACACAAGGGGGGGAAATGGGAAAAAAGGAGGAAGTTGCTTCTTTCTGGGAATTCTCCTTTTTTCATCCCTATAGTTTGTTCCCCTCACACCTCTGCCTGGTTTTCAGGGTTTCTCTGAGTTCGTGGAACTTCCTAGTTTGGAGAATGGACCCACCGGGGATAGCACAGCAAATGGAACAAATGAGTGAGCTGGCCAGGGGAAGACAGGTGCTGCTCTCCTGTTCTGCAAGGATGCTCTCTCCAGACCTCCTGCACCCACCTCATCTAACTGAAGCTAGATGGTGCGGAACCCCGAGGCCAACATGAAGCCCGGTGATGTGCCTTCAATTTTCAGACAAGGCCCCGTTTTCTTCCTTTCCCAACTTGTGGAAGTTATACCCAGAACAGACAGACCCTTCCTCACCTCGCCAACCTGAACACCCGCAGGACAGCCTTAAGCCAGCTTTCAGCTATACCCACTCTCTACTTTCCATCCTTTCCCTCCAGCTCCACCAACTCCCCCATACAGCTTCACACCTTCCTCGTGTCTGTGTTTCCCTTCTTTCCACCATTCACATCCCCATTCACTCTTAGGTCGGGGTTCCCATGCACGCCCACTCTGGAGCCAGTTCGCGAGTGCTTCAGTTTTCCCTTCCGGACCGTTCCGTTCCGCGCTGGCCGAGACTACAAGACCCAGGATGCCCTGCTACCCCGGGGTCTGCTGGGAAATAAAAAGCTTTTCCCTCCGCGGTGGGGGCCCGGTGCATCTGCTGAGTGACGCGAGGCGCTCGAGTCGGGGCCTAGCCGAGTTTCCTCGGACGCGACCACTGGCCCCGCGTGCAGGGAGGAGCGGGGCGCGTTAGCCCGCGCGGGGCTCCGCGCCCCACCCGCCCCGGCTGCGAGCTCACTGTGGGTCCCCACCCCTCCCTCCGGCAGCCTCCGAGACGGGCAGCGGCGGGGGGCCGGCCCCCGACCGAGCCGGGGTTTCCCGGATGCTGCGGCCGTGCCCCCCGCGCAGTGCCCGGGTCCAAAGTCCTGAGACTTGGAGCGCGCGCGAGAAAGGGGTTGGAGATGATGAGTCAGAAGCCCGGGGCCCTTCTGTCCCCCTCCCCCGGGGCCCGAGCGCCCCAGGAGCGCCGTCTCGGTGGGCCACTGGCGGACGCGGCAGGAAGAGGAGGAAGGCGGCGGCCAGGCCGGAGAGTTTCCCGCCTCTGGCGAGTACGCCGGTGTGGCGAGCCCGCCCCGCGCCTCCCTTTCTCTTCAGCGGGAGGGAACTGCGCAGGCTCGGCCTCGGGGCGGCCCTCCGGACCTTTGATCCCGGCTGCGGTCGGCTGGCTGGAGCGCCGCTGGCGCTCAACCCCCACCGCCTCAGACTTTGCGAGTGTGCAAAGATGACTAGCTCAGGTGGGCTCGAGCAAAGCCCCGGAGAACTGGGCGCCCCCTAGCACCAGTCGGGCAGCTTACCAGCCCGCGAGACTAGAAATTGACCAGAGCCGGAGTACTTAAGAGAACTCACCCCAAATTCACATAGTGCCCAGGATGGGTGTGCGCCTCACACTCATTTTTGTTCCCACTTGAGAAGACTTCTTCCCCTAGAGAATGCTGCCTCTCCGGGCTTAGCCAAGCCCGGGCACCCGTGAGGAAAGAGCACAGCCTGGCTGCCTTGCCCTGACATTGCAGCGGCGCCAGCGCAGCTCCTTTCTGTGACACCTTGGGAGTGGTAATAGTTGCCCTATGACAAGGTTGTGTGAGTACTAGTGGGTGGGGACAGTTCTGGGATTAGGCTCTGGAATGGAGAAAACGAGATTTCTGTCTCCCTCTTCTCCAACCCCCAATCCACCCGCCAGAATAATGGAGAGATCACGTGCGAAGGGCTCAAAATTTTCTTTAAAATCGGAAGGTGGTGGTAGGTGAGGAGGCAGGGAATTAAAAAATAATTTGCTCTCCCTGTCTTCTTGCTAAGAACTTGTAGTGGTGCATCTGAAGTCTAGATGTTCTTTCTAGTGACTATGAGAATAAACCTTGCATCAGTCAGGTTAGGCTACGTTATGCTGTGATTAACAATACCAAAATCTCAGTGACTTAAAACCACAAAGTTTGGTGATGTGGTCTTCTTTCTTCATTAAACCATGAGTTACAGTAGTAGTAGAGGATGTGAACATGTCACACTCTGAATAGTCAGAATATTGTTCTGCTTGTGAATAAAGGTAGACAAAAGCATAGAAAGAAAGACCATAGCTATGTTAATGACTCTCATGCACATTCTGCGTGTTTTTAGTATCTAACTTTCCTTCTAAACATTTTATTATAAGCATTTTCCAATCATTAAAACACCTGCTTGGAGGCTACCCCGGTGGTGTAAGGAGTAAATCTCAGCACTATCAAGCTATCCACAGCCACTGCAGCAGGAGCTCAATCTCCAGCCAGGGGGTTGACCCATATGGCCAGCAGACTTCTGCAGTCTCACACACTGTTCCCCTCAGCAGTGTATTTCAGTAGATCTCCCTGTTCTGCTCCCCACTCTGTCTCTGGTGATTCCTCTCACCCTCCACATTTCTGGCATATACCCCAGTTCTTGTGTGCATAAATAAATAAATCTTAAAAATAAAATAAAACACCTGCTCTTCATTGCTCTTGAAGGTTGCACAATATTTTAGCATCAGGTTGCACTGTATGTACACCTAACCATTTCCACATTTCTGGCCATATTATTTCCAGTTGTTGTTTTGGTCTGTTCTCTGAAGTCTCTTCATTAAGAAAGAAAATATAAGGTGGCCTATACCAAACCCTGACCTGATAACAAAGACAAGCAGTAGGGTATTTGATATCAGACTTAGAATAATAGATCAGGGGAAAATAGAAATCAGTTTTACACATGGAAGAGACTTGAGAAATGAACTATCTCAACCTTTCCAACAACAGAAGAAAACATGGAGAATCCAGGAGATGAGGTGCAATGTTCCAACTCAGATTAAAAAGTGACCATGAGGCGGATTGGAGCGCTGCACTACAAAGCTAAGCCAAGCTTGGGCGCTTCAGTGCCAGTTCATTCCCGGAAGTGACCCACATGGTGTGGCAGACCTCCTCTGACCCACCCGCTGCTCCCCTCAGCAGTGTACCTTGTCAATCTACCTGTTCTGCTTCCCACGGTTTCTGGTGAATCTTCTCATTGACCCTGTACCGGACTCTACCCCATTTCTGTATGTGTAAATAAATTAAATCTTAAAAAAGAAAAAAAAAAGTGACCCTGACAACATCTCAAACCTGGAAAACTGAATGCATCTTTTTCCTAAGCTCTCCTTATGAGGACCTATGAGAGACAATTTTGGCCATTGTTCTTGGTAATAAAAAATGTCAGCAGAGGACTGGTTATATAAATCACAAATAGTGAAATTAAAATAAAAATCAACATCTAGTTGATATTTTCCCCCCACCACCATTGCTTAAACCCATTTTTACCCATTCTCTCTAGTGAACTAGTGTTCACTAGTTTTTATAATGATTTTGTTTCATGAACAAAATGACTACTACTAAATCAACAGTCAAAGGTCCTCCCTGGTGGTGCAACAGGTTAAAACAACACTCTGAAGCTAGCCGCAGCCACTTCAGCACTAATTCTATCTCCAGTCAGGGAGGTGACCCACATGGTGCAGCAGACCTCTCCTACCGGCCCACTGCTCCCTCAGCAGTGTACTTCATCAGTTGGCCTATTCTGCTCCCCGCTCTGTCTCTGGTGAATCCTCTCACCGCTCCTGTACCTCTTGCCTGTACCCCAGTTCTGTATAAATAAAGAAATCTTTAAAAAAAAAAAACTATAAAACTATAAGCATAGGGCTCTCCCTGGTGGAGCAGAAGGTTAAATAAAGAGCAGCACTATGAAGCTACCCACAGCCACCGCAGCATGAGCTCCATCCCCATCCAGGGAGGTAACCTATGAGACAGCAGACCTCTCCTGTCAAGCCCGCTGCTCCCCTCAGCAATGTACTTCATCAGTCTGCCTGTTCTGCTTCCTACTCTGTCTCTGGTGAATCCTCTCACCCCCTGTACCTCTGGCCAGTACCTTAGTTCTGTATGCACAAATAAATAAATCTTAAAAACAAACAAACAAACAAAAAAACTATAAGCACATTAGAGCACCACTATGGCCTGAGTTCAATCCTCGGCCAGAAAGATATTCCACATATGATACAGACCTCTTCTATCTCACCGTTGGTCCTCTCAGCTGTGTATGTCAGTAGATCTGCCTATTCCGCTCCCTACTCTGTCTCCGGTGAACCCTCTTGCTCCCTGTGCCTCTGATGTACGCCCCAGTTCTTCTATGCAGAGGGGAAAAAAGGCAATAGATGAATAAACTGTATATAAAAAAATAAAACTATAAGCACTCTAGCGGTTTAAAATAAATTGCCTGTTTCCACTCATTTATAATACAGAAGTAGTATAAATTAATTAAGCAGATGTGGCCTGTGGTTATGTGGAATAGTGGCAACTGTTGCAAAATGTGTACCACATATTCTGTTAAAAGACTTTACCCACAATAATTGTCATGTGGGACTTTGGACCTGGTATTGCCACAGTTCCAATTTTCCTATAGAAGTCAGGAATTCTGACTTTTTAAATGGGAAACATTCTGAGTTTAAAAGATTTTTCTTAGCCTGGTAACCAGAACAACCTATGTTCTTCAACCATAGTCTCTGCATTAGACAAACATGGCAAGATTTCAGATTTCAGATGAGCAATACAGCTCTTACACATCTCCAAGGCCTCTTCTGAATTTCAAGATTTGGAATGGCTAAATATTATGTCCTTAAAAGAATATTTTTCAGGGCCCTCCTTGGAGGCGCAACAGGTTAAGTAAGGCACAGCTATGAAGCTAACACAGCCACTGCAGCTTGAGTTGGATCCCCGGCCAAGGGAGTGACCTACGAGGCTTGGCAGATCTCTCCTGACCTGCCCAGGGCTCCCCTCAGCAGTATATTTCAGTTAATCCACTTATTCTGCTCCCCACTCTATCTCTGGTGAACCCTTTCTCCCCCCGCACCTCTGGCCTGAACTGGGGTTCTGTATGTATAAATAAATAAATCTTTAAAAAAAATTTTTTTTCAAAATCATATCCATCTATGCACTTGTTCTCAGGGAGGGGATATTTTGCAATGTCTTAGAGATATTTTGGGTACTAACAACTAAGAGAGAAAGGAAAGATAAGTTATGGAAGAAGCATTAAATAAGAAGTCAGAAGACTGCTAGGAATGTCCCTTTCCTGTGTATTATTTTTCACCAAGTGGCAAGAGAAGCCTCTGAGGCTTGTCCTGTGATCCACCTAATCCGCCCTTCACACAGCCTGCCATGTGCAGG